AATTCAAATGTTAAAAAGGAAGCAAACAACCCAAATATATACCAACAGTAGACTGCTCAGCCTTGCATATAGAGAGGTCCATGGTCCTTTTGGGTTGGCCGGGCAAGGTCAGAGCCCAAGAAGCACTTCTGTAGAGAGGAAGCCTCAGGCTCTGATGGCTGCGTGAGGAGTGACTCCTCCCAGGATGAGGGTCTCTGTCCTCCTGGTGCTCACTCAAGTTCCGTGTTTCCCAGTCCCCCTAGGGGGCGTAACTCACATCAGAACGGCCATCATGTGTCACAGATACTTGTACGCATGAATTTCCAGGAAATCTCCTTGGTTGGCGAAACAGTCGTGACAGTCCGGCCACAGGGCGTCTGTGAGCTATCGTCTTAGGCAAATGACCAAAAACCTCAAAGACCATACGAGGTGGACAGCGTAGCAGTAGGGTTTGGGATGAGAGCAGTCCTTTTGCTAGCAACCGTCAGCGCCTTGGGCGGTACCATGAACAGCGGCGCACGTCCCGGAGGGAAACTTGTGTGCGACCGCAAGAATGACCCGGAAGAACTTCTCGCACGGCTGTAGAGTTCTCCGGGAATTGTAGTTTCGTAATGCGGGCGCCATTGTCCTTACAAGTAGAGGGTGTCCCTTAGTTCCGAAGCGTATCGTTGACCATAGGACAACTGTGCGCCTAGGGCACTTCGCGCGTGGTCCTAGTTGGCCGACTCTAGAAATAACAGCCCCAGGCTTTTCTTACGAATCCTACACCCATTTGCCCGCGGCTCGCCAGGTCCGTGCGGCCGCAGAGACTAGTGGGAAGGGTAGTGTTCTCGCGCCGGCGGTTCGCGGAGCCGGGGACCTTTGTCCCGAGCGCGGAGGATTCTGGGAATTGTCGCTTGGCCGTGGGCACTGCAGTGGGTCGGTCCTGCGGTAGCCTGAGGCCTGGGGGCGGCTCCCAGGCTCAGAAACGGTTCTGGGCAGTGTTGTTCCCGGAGGTTGGGAACGTTGCCCGCTCACCAGCGACGCAGCGCGTCAGGTCCGCGGAAGTGCGGACTCGGGGCGCCTGCGTGGACGGCGAGGACTCTGGCAAGTGTGGGTCCTGGGGGCGGCGGCGGGGCCCCGACCCTGGGTCGGCCCGCGGTGTGACCCCTGCCGGAGTCTTGGCTTTTCCTGGGCCTCGCGTCCTGCTGTGTAAACGCGGGTGATGACGGCGCCGACGTCTTGGCGCTGTTGTGAGTGGAAAGTGGGCGCGAGAGCAGACGCCAGCCACGGTTGTTTTGGGGTTATGTTGTCATGAAGCCGGCGCTTTGCAGTTGTGTAACCTTGAAAACATGGGTTCAGTATCTCGGAATTTCAGTTTTGTCTTCGTTTTAAAAAGAAATCTGGTTTCGAACAAAGTGCTGGGATGACAGGTGTGAGCTGCCACGCCGGCCTGACCAGCATGGTGAAACCCTGTCTCTAAAAATGCAAAAGAAAAATTAGCTGGGTGTGGTGGCGCACGCCTGCAATCCCAGCTATTCAGGAGGCTGAGGCAGGAGAATCGCTTGAACCCCGGAGGTGGAGGTTGCAGTGAGCTGAGATGTCGCCATTGCACTCCAGTCTGGGCGGCAGAACGAGACTCCCATCTCAAAAGAAAAAGAAGAAAAAATCTGGAATAATGTGAATGCCCACCGTGTATAGTGGTGAAGATTGAACGAGTTGATTAAGTTATTACTATTGTTTATGAGTCTTTTATGGACAGAAAACTTGACCTTCCCCACAGGTGGCACCTGGAAAATGGTTAAACCTTGCCGAGAAACACCCTGTAGTTCCCAGGGAGAGATTGACGCCCCAGAGAGTGACTACCAAGTGTGCCTTTCCATTATGGTGTGTCACAGATGCTGGAAGATAAGCCTGATTTTTCCTGACTGCTTTTTCCTGCCGTTCTGTGCCTTTAGGACACTGCCTATCTCTAAGAGCCTGGAAAGAGGACTCTGCTGGCTGTTGGAAATTGCGGAGTAATGTCTCAAGTAAGTCGGTGGGTCCCTAAATCTCCCTGAAACACTTTATCAGGCCTCTGTGTGTTTGCTTTGCTTCTCCTGCCTGTTCCCACCTAGTCAAGTCCATTTAAGGGACTGGATCTCTGGTTCCTTTCAATATAGGAGGGATGGAGCCCACGGGAGAGCTCCAAGGTATTGTCCTCCTCACCCAGTGTTCTTCTTTTCTTTTTTTTTTTTTGAGACGGAGTTTCGCTCTTGTTACCCAGGCTGGAGTGCAATGGCGCGATCTCGGCTCATCGCAACCTCCGCCTCCTGGGTTCAGGCAATTCTCCTGCCTCAGCCTCCTGAGTAGCTGGGATTACAGGCACG